ATGTCACGTGCCCTCTGGGGCGTCGCTACGCTCCTCCGAAAGGACACGCGACATGAAGACGGCATCGGATTGGCTGTAATAGCTCGACAACTGCGCTCCGTCGTCAGGTTAGACAGGAGTCTACAGCTCTATAGTACCGAGACCGAAGCCTTTAGCATGCGAAGTCGTTTGTTTGCCGATTACACCATCCGCCCGGCTAAAGAGCAAACAGCCTCTTCGCCTCATTTCTGTAGATACTGCGAAGGAAGTGGGGAAAAAAAAAAAAAAAAAAGAGTTACATCACAGGTGACGCGGTATTTTTTTCTTCTCTTTTCTATGGGTTTCCTGTTTGAAGTTGTTCTCAGGCCTTGTCTGGCGTGTTTCGAGTTGTCGGATGACGATAGATGCGGGGGATTCTACGCGGGCGACCTTGATCGGCACTTATCACTAAATTGGCTCCGGATTCATCGTGTACTATGAGCGTCAAAAAGATTTCGCAGTGTCTAGATTTGGACGTAACTTGGGTTACGTAGGACGTAACGTCCGACGTAACCCAAGTTACGTTCAAATCTCCGCCTTCCCTGAGTTCACGAGAAAGGGAGAGGAGGACAAGGGGGGGGGGGGGGGGGGTTAGGTATGCGCGTTTCAGTGCTCCGTCCGGACGTAACGCTAGCCACAGCGAAAAGATTTTTATATTTTCTGTGAAATAGTTTCCCTCGCGTCTGCTTCTTCGTACAGCACGGGAAGATGTCAATTACCGCCGCATCCTACCAAAGAAGCTGAGAAAAGTATGAAGCTGGACGAAACGTTTTGTCTGAGTGGTCCAATGTGCGCCATCTACTCGAGCGTGTGGAAGTGGAAGTGTCCGGGCGCGGATTGCACTTCCATGAGGTTTTCCGACATTTTAGTTAATGAACTTTCACGTGCGCAGCACGCGCTTGTACGAAGGACCTTCGCAACAAGGAGGCCAGGGCGAAGCACCCAGACATCTTTCGCTCACAGGGGTGTCTTCAATGTCCCGATGTACGTCGCATTCACCGAAGCCTTTTGAAGGGAAAAGGGCTAGTGACTGGCGGCGTTTTCTCTAGCCGCGAAGAAAGATCCTTTCGCGCGGCGTTGGTCGCGCTCCTCGCGTCCTTGAAAACTTGTAAACATGTCATGCTGCGCCATCTCGTGGCATTTGTCAGAAATGACAGAAGCAGCAGGAAGAGCTTTCAACAGGGACTCCGCAGGCGAACGTCCATAAGTGCAAGGCCTATCACACATTCTGTGCTTACAAGCCTTTATATGCGTAATCAAGCTCCTAGAATTTTGGAGTTGGAGAGTTGTTTCCCACTTATCATGCGTCACACTTAGCAACGGCGAGCCGATTTCGATGTCTCTTTTGTTTGCATTAACGAATATAGCTTCTACCTCGCTGCTTCGATGTCGAGGATGCTTACTCATCGGTTTTGCGATTACTTCCCTAACTTGCGTAGTAAAAAGATTAAGGTGTGTGCACAGCCTCAAAGGAACACTAAGTGTAAATCTCAAAGAACAGTATAAAGAAAAAAAACGTAATCAAATTCTGCCTCAAAGAAAAACTTCGTGTAATTCTCAAAGAACAACATAAAAAAAAGTGCATGCTTGAGTTTTTCTGTGCACGCGTTACAAGTTTCCGGTACAGCTGCACTTTTATGAGATCCACAATCCGTAGGTCTTTTCGTACGTTTATTCATTCAATCACGCCCGTATTTTCAGATAGCGAACATGGAAGAATTGAATAACTTTCTCCAGAGCGCAAGTAATCTTTGATGTGGACTTTTCGAATACTTATCCGCACTTCTAGGCCGGCCCATATCACCGTACTCCAATAGACACAAAGTCAAGTTACACGGCGGATTCAGAGTGACAAACTTGGCACGATCGCCGCTGTAAAAGGCCTTTCAGATGTCGTCCGTGAATGGGTTATCTTATTTTAGCCCTTCCAGGATTGCTTTATGGTTTTTCCTTTATCCGGGTCGGCTACAGCGTTTCTTTTAACGTTCTTGTAACTGCGACAACGACACGGTGCACTCACAAAGACGCTGGTGGAGTATGGGGTATCGTTATCGGAGTTATGGGAACAATATATTAAGACGTCTAATGTGCCTTTGCACTCGCCTGTTTATAGAAAAGTGGCAGTACCCTTCTTCACTCGCAGTGCTGCTACAAAATATGTGACGGCACGCCGTCACAGATCCCTAATCTTTTATCCGGGTCCTAGGTAGGGGCGAGACTACACTTCTTAGCAAAAATAATAATAATAAAAAAAAAAAAAAAAACAGCAGCGGGAACAGGGTAATGGTCGCGTGTGCACGGGGCGAATTTTTTTCCGGCGAGGGGGGCTCAAGCTTCATAAGCCTCTCCCAGTCTATGCGACTGGCACCGGGGGTTTCCCGCCGTCGCCCAGGCCGGTCGCGGTTGACAGATGAACTCGAGCAGGCGCGAACAAGCCAGGCGGTGTGTTCGTCGAGTTGGCAGACGCAACGGTCGCCGGATCAGAACAGGTTTGTCGAAGGCGTCCCGAACACCTCCGCAGTTACGGGGCAACGAACCGGTGCCCGTTTTTCTTGCCGGCTGCCAAGAACAATTGCAGGCGCGATGAACGTCGCTTCCTGTCCGCCCCGCTGCGATCGCCTTGACGGCCGCCGCCCTCACGAGGCCCCCTTCGACTGCTCCGGCCGCCTCGCGCATCTCGACAGACGAGGTGAGAGTACCCGCAGCTGCGGCTAGATGGCGCCACGTATTCTTGCCGCTCTTCGAGGGCCTCAAGTTCGATGATGTCGATGTCCTCGTCAGGGCCGTTTTCGGACTGAAGTATTTTTTACTTCGCTAAGTCTTCGGAGGCCGAGGATCGAGAGTAGCTTTTCCTTGGGTTCGACTGAACGTTCAGCTCGAAGGTCAGTACCCTACTAGAGGTGGTCTCCACGAATGCGTAGTTTGTAGGCCGCTTTAGTGTGCATTACTTTCTCTGCCAAGTACCATAGACGTTGTAAACACGCAAAATGATCACGAAGGCCACTAATTTTGTATGCTTTGCGAAATCCTCCTACTTTATATAAAAACAAGGGTGATTTAACATTGTTCCTAGGAAATAATTAAAATACGAAAGACCAACCGCGCGGCAAAAAAAAATCTATAAAAAATAATTAGAGGCGTGACAGAAAATAGGAGGATGAAAGGAAAACAATGTGGGCCATTGAAATTCCGAAGGTAGGAACTAGACGTTGCACATGTGACGGTGGCATATATTACAAAGTCTCGCATTTTCTTTGAGCGTTAGCAAGTTCGGGTCAATTCGTGGAAACAGCAAAAGGCGGTAATATTATGGATTCATCGTAGATTTTCGAAGGTAATAGAGTCAAATGGGGCGCAGACCACAACCAGTCCATGTCACATGAGAGGTACTTCACACCCTCACACTCGTGTATTGCGCGGAAACAAACGTCTGACCGCCATTTCAAATACCTTGTATACTGCTTTTCCAGATTAACACCAGTTATGTGCCGCGCTGTTCTCCACTCAGAGGAAGACATAATCTGATACTGAGAATCCCCCAGGACATGGGCACTCGCCACAAATCAGGCAGCCCAAGCGCGCACAATGGATGTCCGGATAAGATCAGTTTTCTTACATAATTTTTTAACCTCCACGATATAGTTTCGGCGAACATTGACAACGTACAAGTCGGCACCGGGCGTCGCTGCTGCGGTGCTAAACAACTGGTGACAGCTTCAGGTGTTTCGATTCGCGATTTAAAGAAGGCTCCCGAAGCCTATGATCATTCTTCATAAACGTTCGAATCACATTTTTTTGTATGTGTGAAAAATGTTTTTTTTTGTTTGTTTTTTAACTTATGGACAAAAGGAACATTTCTTTCGTCGTTCTTCTGGGATGCTCAAACGTGCACGAACCCTAACTGACGATACTGTGGTAACGCAGAACGCAGCTCCGAGCCGATGTCTCTGCGTTCGTAAGAATCATCACCCGAAGCTATTATTTTCTTGGTCTCCACGGGGCAGACAGGCCTTTTGTTTGCTAAGTGTTCACCATATTAGCATCCTAACGTTTGTGGTCTTTACGTTTCCGTATGCGTCTTTCAGAGAGTTTTTATGCAAGTGCCACATTGTTAAGTAGTGCGATTGCTGGGCCCGTTCCACTACTTTCTCTAGCTCCGCGAAGTCCATTCCGAAAAGTCCAGCTCTAGCCGCTTAATCGAATTTTTAAAGCACTGAAATTAAAGTTTAGTTAGCATTTGAGGGTGGGTATTTCTACAGTCGGTGTCAGTTGAAAAACTCGGTAGAAGCACCGCCTCGGGGCGTGAGATTTCTGACTTTGCTAACACTTCGTCGCACGCGCAGCCGAAGCACGGCGAAAGGCAACAAGCGCGTCCTGGAGGCGGGGCTATAGGTTCTTATCCTTGTTACCGACCATTGAAATAAGCATCCTTAAATGCAAATTAAATATTGAATTAAGTTTTTTCTTTGGCAGGCTTTATAGTCACTTCCAAAAGGCTTTCAGCACGAGCTAGTCGCCTTCCGTCGTGCTTTGGCAACGCGTGCGCGCTCAATGCTCCCGAGAGGTCGATACGTTAACGAAGGTAAAAAGCTCGCGCCGGAGGCGGGACAATTGAAAAAAAATTTCCTGCCGTTCTTATTATGTCGGTGCATCAGAGTGGTAGTTTGACTGCACCTGTCCAACACCACCTACGATAATCGAAGCCTGTGCGGTAGAATTTTGACGTCATCCTCCGAGTGAGGTCGAGCGAAGACGTCGATTGGATTACGAGTGCTGCGTCAGCGCTCGGCTGGACCTCGTATCAAATGAACGCGCCGAGGGAGGCTCGGCATCGGGCTCGGGTTCAATGGCCGCCGAGTTGGCGCCATCCCACTATGATGACGTTTCATCGTGGAAGAGAAGGTCATTCGCGTGCCTCGACTATTCTATAGGCGGCGTTGGCCATACCAGACACCCCCGCGTGTATATGGCATGGGGCTCACCTGCACCCTGGCCTCGGACAGGTTGGTCTTGGCGGCCAGGCGTTCCCGGGTGCTCACGCAGGGGTAGTGGGTCTTCTCGAACTCCTCCTCGAGCACTTCGAGCTGGTCCGGGCTGAAGGTGGTCCGATTCCGCCGAAACTTGGGCCGGTCGGCGGAGTCCGAGCTGCCGCCTTCGTCCCCGGCGCCGCCCAGACCGTCCTTGTCCACTGCCAAACCCCAAACGAAAAAAAAAATATTAGGTTAGGGTGTTACGCCGCTCACACCTTCTTCCGTTTTAATAATTTCTATAGGGCACCAAACCGCAACATCGTGCGCGTCCATTCATAGCAACTCAATGGCTAAATTTAGCGAAAAAAAAAGAAAACTGCGTAGGTGCACACGAGTTTGTTTTCCCCCGCTAAACTTGGCGGCAAACGTTTCCCCGCGAAGTTTAGAAGGAAACATTGGATAAACTCTTTTCAAGACCCAAGCAACATGAACCGTCGCCATTTCTCGGGCACCAAGCGTGTGATTGGACCCGAGTCTTCGCCGAACCCTGACGCAGCGATCGTGTCCATGCACATGCTTAGAGTCCGTCCCGAAACAATGACGGACTCGAATAATTGCGTGCGCAGTGTCTCAGATGGCGCGCAATTTTGAGAATGCATTATCGGTGTATACACCAATTTATATTGACCATATTGACGGTCATTATTACCCATATTGACGGGACATGACTCTATGCCTTCTTTGGCTAGAAGAAAGGTAGTTTCTTTGTGTGTTTTCGGTCTGGTTGTATTTTGTCAAGACCTGAGCAGCAGCTGAAAGATAGTGTTTCCCGTATACTTCTCACCGAACCTCATTTTTAACCTCCCTCCGATCCCCGTCGTAAGTGAAGTAACTGCCAGTACCCTCTCATCTCAATTTGAAGCTCTGCTGCACTGTCACGTCTTATTTTGTCGTTGCTATCTTCTTTCTCCGAATCAATTCCTGTTAAATCGGTACTCGTGCACTGAATATAAATCAGCGACTACGTAATTACGTATACTTGAGTAAATTAACACCAAAAACTGGGCTTAAGGAACTCTTTTAATATTGACTAGATTTGAGGAGCCTTTTGAATCGTCATGATTAAGTTTCTAGTTGTTCGTTTTGGGCAAGGTTTATTTATTTATTTTTGGATACAAGTAATTAAAACAAATTAGAAAAACACCCAGGGCAGAGGAAATCCTGTGCTACTATTATTATTTTTTTTATATCCGTATGAAACACGGCTTGCAAGTCACAAAGCGGTTATTTGTATAACTTATAAAAAGCGGGAAACAAAAATAAATAAGAAATAAACATATCCGCTATTACGCGGGTTAGTTGTGAAAGATTCGATTTAACCTCTCGCATGAGCTAGTTGAATGTCGGCACATGGAGAAATGGTGACCGCACGCTGTTCCCTTGTTAGTGACCGAGCTTTCGCCGTGCTCGTGTTTTCGTGTTGCAGTAGTCACGTTCCTATGCAAATATTCTTCACGTAACTAAAACTAAAACAATTAAAATCGAAGCGATCGACAAAACACTCCTCACAGTTTCCCCGTCCGTCACTTACTAAAACATTCTATACTGACTGTAATCCTCGCGCCAATTGCCTTTTAGACGCTCGGTTTAGCTTCACCGCCATGCACCGCTGCAGAGGGTGCAGCACGCTCTACAGGGCAGCGTACTTGAGGTACAAACTTCAAGATATCATCTAGAGAGTTCTTGAATGGCCCTAGAGCCAAACAACACGGGGCATCGCACTGCGCATGCGCAATGCGGCGCCTCAAGAATTTTGGGGGGGCTAATAAAAATTTTTGCAGTATTCACAAAAAAAAAAAAAAACACACAAACGATGCGGAAATCAACCTTCGCCGGCGTCGAATGCAGAGCTTAGTCACCAATATTGGCGGTCCTTTTTTAGCTGGGTTAAATGAGGTCCGTCATTGGCCCGTTCTTAGTGCTCACCCACGAGACGAAATCTTTCCACGGGCGTCAATAAGATCAAGCGGTACGGATTCTGATGCCTCTTCACTATATGTGAATTAGTGAACATTTCGGAAGTCCGGATTTGGTTATGAAGCCACCGATAGATTATGAATAAGAGTCGATGTGCTGGACGCTGAGCAACGTGCAGACACTCTACCAACTCCACAACTCTGGTATCACCTCGATCCTTTATGCGCGTGTTGCCATTCAAAAGCTCTTGCTCAAATTCCCGTATATAGCTGTCCCAGCGCACTCAAGCACCTTGCCTTGAGAAGCACCCAGCTGCAAGAAGAAACGTGCAGTGCGGTAGTACATAAAACCTGCCGGTCACCCTTTCTGTAGTCAATGGTAAACTGAGACGGAGAATACGCTACAGAAGCCGAATCGCAAGCTAAGCGTTTAGGCAGAGGATAAACGGTGATGTTTACATTCTGCGGTGCAACTCCTTGGGAGAGTTTTCCTTGAACGGAAACCCGGTACGAGGATTGCGTATAGACGATGATTCAGCGAGTATCCCCGGGTTTCTGAGATATTTTAAAGCAACTTTACTTACTACAGCGGGAGGAACGCGCGTTCGGGTAAAATCGCGCACGAACGGAAAAGGCTTATCTTCATCGTCGAGTTTTAAATCATTACATATACCGAAAACAAAAGGAGAAACCTAAAGCGTGACGGACTTCCCAATTATTGCTGCTAAGAAGCAAAAAAAATTGACCAAATAGCTTGCCCGCGTTAATGTCACTGGACTCAGATCCAGTGACTTTAGTCCGCGTTAATTACTTCCCAAATATAGTTTCTTCCTTAATGTTCCTATCATACGATGCTGCGATCTCATTGGCCAGTCTCCAGTCGTAATTATAGAACTTGTCCACGTCGGACACACCTTGTTAGTCTTAGGTTGTCCAAGACAACCTTACAATGCCACAGAACGAATTACTACGCACGAAGCGTGAACATAATGAATGGCCTACATTTCTTAAGTTGTCACTGATTATATATAATGCCCCAAACTCGCTGCGCGCTCGCGAGGACGGGGGAAGCGTCGCCGAGCTGCCGCCACAACGAGGGCGGAGTCGGCAACCCGCACGGTCTCGGCAGAGGAGGAACCCGCGGCCGCGCCGCCGCAGCCGCCGCGTGCAGATTTACGAGCTCGTGATCGGAAGTCGACGTCGTGCGTCGGCGTCGGCCGATTCGGACGCACGTCGCTGGTGCGACCTTGGCTCCGACGGCCCTTAAGCTTGCTGACGCAGCGACTTGGCGGCAGTTGCCTATACCGCGGCGCGCTCTCGACGCTGCTGTTGAACCGCGAGCAAACGCGACTCACGCTGTCGCGTCGTGCTCGACTCCCAGCTGCGTCGGCGCGAGCTTGCTCGCCCCCGCGCAACCCTTGGCTGACTCGGCCGACTCGCTGCTGACTGCGCAGCACGCAGTCGCCTGTAACTGTTTTCGCTCTGCCCGCCTCAGCGAGCGCGCCCGCTGCTCACAGCTGCGCCGTGACGACGACGACGACTTCGAGTTCCGCGTTGCCCATTCCTCGCCCGCTCTCTCTCTCCCGAGTCGTATTCGGCGGGGACACATCTACACCTTTTGAGAGAATAACTTAATTTAAACGTTCATAGTTGGAACGGAGTGCCGCTTCTCTCTCTCTCTTTCTCTCTCGGAAGTGTCATCGGGGGGACGGAGAAAATGGGAAGCATCGCTCGCGCCAGCTTCTTGGCCGAGAAATAAAGCGCTCGGGTGAATTATTTGAACCGCTTTAATAATTCTCACGCTTGTCTGCGCTGGCACAAAGCGGGATGTTTCGGCCATATATATGTCGGACCAATCGCTCTCCTCTCGTCTTTTTTTTTTTTTTTTAAGGGCAAAAGTGATTTAAGGATTCAACGTCCCTGTGTGTATGTTTTCTTTTTTTTTTTTTTTTTTTTTTGTAAGTTGGGCATTTTGAAGTTTTATTTTGAGAGGCCCGCGTTATGAGAGCCCTCCAACGAAGGGAAACAAATTTGTTTCCCCACGCTGAGGATAATGACCTGAACGACCGATTACGCGAAAAACCCTTTCCCAGGTTAGCATTTGAGCGTAATAATCAAACCATCGAGTAAGGCAGTGACTGCAGTCAATGATGATCCCAGGAATAATTACGTAACAAGAATCAACCTGTTGCCGGAGAGGAATGATGATTCGGTTTTGCTCGCTGACATCTCAAGAAACGTAGGATATGTCTAATTATGTTCACTCTTCCCGAATGCGGGGAGATAATAAACGTGTTCGGAGCTCTCCACGCCAGTCTTCTTAAGCTCTCTGGGACGAAAGATGCAAACCCTGATAACTTACTCCTGCAGAATTAGCAGATAAACTCTGTCAAAAATATTCTCAAACACGATATAAAGCGTGAAATATTTTTCTTCGCGTTTGTGTAAAGGTGTAGTGCTCAAAGTGCTGCGAAATAGATAGCAAAATCGAAAGGAAAATCAAGCTATGTAAATCATGGGCCAAAAAAAAAAAAAAAAACAAGAAACGTGTGGAAATTGAACGATTTTTGAAACACAAAAAAAATTTCCACGAGAATTTCTTGAAAGGAAAAAAAAATTAAGAAAAACAATCACGGTAAGATTTATCGCGCAGAAATCTTAACTATTCTCATAATACAAAGCATATATTCTAATTACGTGCGGTAAACGGTCTGATTTCTCGAATACTCTCTAGCATGGAAGAATTTTCGTGTGTTTCCAATATTTCCGTGAGATTTCCGGTTGATTTTTTTTTACATTAGTTCCAGCCTTAAGTCGTGAAGCTACGCGACGATCAGGGTGTTCCCCACGAAGGGATCCTGGAATTCAACGCATAGAAAACCGTCCTGTAGGCGTCGTTTTCGGGCCTGTGGCGTAATGCCTGATTACGATTTCGAAATGCCCGAGTTCTACTACAGCAACAGACATTTACAACCAACACCGACAAGCTTCTACCGCGTGCAGCATGCGAACGATGGCATGTTTATTCTTTTTTTTTTTTTTTTTTTTATAGACAACTCATATAGTTTCCAGGTGCTCGTGAACTAACCGCGAGGGATTACAAGCTAGCCAAAAGTATACGTTTGCGTGCATGCTGCCCGTGCTTGAGGCTCGTCAGTGTCGGTTCTTTCGTCCCTCTAGCCTGCCTCGGGCATTACGATGTCGGTTGAGTGTTTGGAGCGTCCCGCAGACGTGGCCGACAGTTTTCCGGCGTTCTCTTTCGCGCATCCCGGGGGCACTCACGTTCATCGGCGGTTCTTGCCCTGAAGGCGGCGGCCAGCGCCGACGGGTCCGGCCCCGGGGGCGCGGGGCTGGAGCCCGTGGGGCCCGGCCCGGAGCCCGGCCCGCTGTTGCCCATGGGCGCCGCCAGGAACGGGGACCAGAGCGCGGCGGGGCCCGCGCCGGCGGCCGCGGCCGCTGCCGCCGCAGCCGCCGCGGCGGGCGACGGCCAGGACAGGCTGGCCGCGGCCGCGTACGGGTGGTACATGGAGTAGCCCGCGGCCCGGGCGAACTCGGCAGCCGCTCGCTCGGCGGCCCGGTTGCGCAGGATCCGGTTGATGGAGCTCACGCTGGGAGCGGTGTTGTTGCTACACACGCCTGCACGGGGAAGAGGGGTCACCTTGGAGTACGACTGTTTACTCAAAGGGACCGGAAGGAGCGTTAGATGCTCGCATTCGTCACAATCTTAACCCTGCAGCCGCGGTCTCACACTGACATCGTACAAAAAGAGTTTGAGTTCTCCCTTGTTTTGACGGTCACATTGTTCCAACAAAAACTGTCTGCGTTCGTATGTACGGGGCATACAGGCTTCGAGCGTGCGTCAGACGTGTCCGCAGATATATCTCTCATTGTGTCTGCGGAGAAACTCCGTGGCTTTCGTGTGATCGACATGGGCAGCCTGACTTTACTCTAAGAAAAGCACGTGGTCTACTTTCCCGCACAACACTCGGACAGCCAATCACCGCAACTAACGGAGGCAGCTGAGCGAATGACGATTCCGAAACACATGTTTAGATCAAAAAACGTCGTCTGAGTTGTGACATTAAGCAATGAGAGCGTGACGTTTTGCTTTTTATTTTTTTTTTTTGTTTAAACTTATGTTTCGGCATCGTCATTCGCTGAGCTTCCACCGTAAGTTGCGGTGATTGGCTGTTTGAACGTTGTGAGGGAAAGTAGACGAACGGGCTCTTTTTAGAGTGATGCGTTTTGCGGGACTCAGTGTATTATTTTCACGCTTCGTGATTGGTTCCTAAGCGTTTTTCTCGGCTAATACGGCAATCTGATTGGCTGCTGAGCGACAATAAGATGCCTCACCAAGCCCTCCTTTTTTTATGCTCTTAGTGATTGCGTGTAGTAAGAGGAAGAAAATAACGGGCAACACGACACAAAAAACCCAGGTGTCGCTTGGGTCGTGTTTTCACTTATTCTATTCCTTTTTTTCACTGGACTTGGGATGTGACGTTTTCTAACCAGCTCGCCCGCATAATTTCTCTAACCGTGGTGCATTCGTTGCTGTCCTTCGCTGCTACTGGCAGCTGAGGGTTAACGGAAGTTTGTCAGGCAACACCCGAGTTTCTTTTTTGTTGTTGTCTTTTTGCCGCCAAAACGAAAAGAAAGACGCAAGGCAGTGGAATCGAATTTAATTTCGATTTCATTCAAAATCTGAATTTCTCCTTCTTTCAAGAAGGAATTGGGGGGGGGGGGGGGGGGAGGGGGGGGGGGAAACTCTAGTGTGCATGGCCTGACAAGCCTATGTCAACTGCAACAGCAGCAGAAGAATGAAAAATATTAAAAAAAAAAAAAACGAACAGGCAGAACGTTTGCAACACGAGCAAGAGAAATGCGATTAACAATGTGCTATACAGGAGATCTAAATTGAATACATGCTGTTATTTTTAAATGACAGCATGTTTTCAATTTATATCTCCTTTATATATATGACCCATTAAATATTTAACATAATTTGTGTTTTAATAGAATTAATTGTTTGAGTAAGTTCAATCAAACTATTTAAAAGACCAACCACATGTCTGCCAAACGGGTGTCATCTGGTGCACTGTGAATTTAGAATTCCAGAACACCATACACTTCAAGAAACGCCTGGGCTACAAAACGCTCGAAGAGCCAATCTCTGCTATCTACGAAATCAGCTCAGCAAATGCTGAGTTTAGACCTAAAAATGAGGTATGCGCTGTGGCATTACGCAATGCAAAACGGCATGCTTGCATTGCGTAATGCCACAGCCCAGAATTGATTTTGAGGTCTAAACGGATTTTCCGCCTCATCATTCGCTGAGCTGATTTCGTAGATCGCAGTGATTGGCTCTTCGAGTGTCTGCGGGCAAGTATAGAAGCGCAGGCATTTCTAAGAGTGTAGCACTGTACGACATAAATGTTCTAATACTGCATCTCACAAGTTGTGTGAGATGCAAAGGTACAACCCCAAGAGCGAATAGCTCTGCAAACGGAGTAAACATCCTTCAAGATACCTATACGTGATTTCTTAGATCCGGATTGTTCGAAGTACTATACATAGAAAACAGTTTCTACAATCCATAATTCCATTGTTCTTCTCACATGGCAACAAGTGCAGATGTCTGAAAACAAAATGTACTCAAAACTTCGTCCATCATTATAAGGACTGTCCTCATCACCCGAGAACGCTAGGACCGAAGATGCGACATTTGAGGATAATTCCTCAGAAAGAAACTTTACAGATATAGCTGCGCCAGTTGTTAACAGCAGAAAGTATACGTTCAAGCCTCAAGGCCTGCTGAGCGCTCTCAAAGATGGTCTGGATTTGTAATACGTTCTTTGTGAACAATATGCAAATGGCTGAGCGAATAGCCAGTTCCTAAAACATGTCGCCAAGATTAGGGGCCCTCGTTTTTTTTTTAGATTTTTTTATATAATTAATAGTAATTTACTTTTTTCAGAAGTCCGCGCCATCGCCTGTCCGCCATTGCTTGGTCACGTACTCTGAGCTTGTATTGAACACGAGTGCCGACGTCAGCGTTCGGGGAGGACTCGGATCCAATCACGCGCTTCGTGTCCAAGCAATGGCGACCGCCAAGATTTCTCGATGGACTTTTGAAAAGGGTCTCTCGCAAGCGCTTCAGACTTAAGCTTGTAAGTATACTTACAGGGAGCTTTTCTTTTTCTTTTAGATCGCAAGTTGTTCTTAGAGCAATGTCAAAGAAATGGATATAGTTAAACTATGTTAATACATTACGAAAGAAAAAAGAAAAAAAGCAGCGCGGTTATTTTACGCGGGCAAGTCTGAATTGAGATGCAACACTCTCTAATTGGCGCTTCGTGTGTCTGCCGCTGCCCTGTCCGAGTGTGTCTCGCGGTGCTCTTTTCAGAAAAAGAAAACTATTTTTCGTGAGTATCCCGGGGCGCCATCGCATACTTTGGAGCCCATGAACGCGGATGATCCAATAAATAAATAAATAGATCAACAAATCGTCCAGCCACTGCTACGGAAAGATCTTATCGCCGACCAATTACTGCACTCGATCAAGGTTTCTTTCTCCCCTTCTGTCCGCCTGCCTCCTCCCTGACGCGGCATCCATCAACGAGCGCCCTCCCGCCGCTCATCAACCGCAAGTTCCAGCTTTTTAAGAGCAACCACGGTCATCGTGTCCTGCCCCGAAAGAAACAACAACAACAACAACAACAAAATGAACGAGAAACTCTGCAGCTATGCGACAAGAAACAATTGAACGGCGAGAGGGCGCATGCAGAGAGCGCCCGCGGCCTGACCCGCGTAGCCCCTTGGGCGCGTTCGATTTAGTCGAGCGCTCGCGGTCGGCGCGACCCCAGGTATACACCCCCATTGTCCGGCGAGTCATCAGGAAAAAAGGGGGGGGGGGGGGGGGGGCGCACCTCCGCTCGCAACGTGCACGCCGTCCCGCCCCCACGTCTTCGGAAGACACAGTCCGACCTGGTGGGCGCCCTTGCCGACGCCGAGCGGTGCTGCCTCCCTCTATACCTCGAAAACCGATCACTCGGCCGCACGTATTGTACGAGCGAGCTCCCGTGTTCCCGAGGCTCGGCTCTCTCTCTCTCTCTCTTGAGATTAATGGGTCCTAAAAGGCGGCCCAATAACGCCGAAAGGTCTGCGGGGTCAGCCGGCGGCGATCGCCCGTCTCTCACGCCGTCGAACTCCCATTCATTCGCTTCCTCCCCCCCCCCCCCCCCCCCCCCCCCCTATAGTGCTTCGTGCCGGTTTCAACTTACGATGGATCCTAGCGGACATTAGACGAGCCGTTTGAACCAATTTAACTCCGTGGGAGTGTCACGTGTCCTTCAAGAGGGACGCAGCAACGCGAGGAGTGCGTTGTCACGCGGCACGTTCGCGGAGCCTGGTCGGCGGTGATGGCTCGTCGGCATAGCTTCCGTTGCTGTTCATGGTTAAGGGAAAGCGGGGTACAAATGGCTGCCCCGCGGTTATGAATCGACGAGAACAACGCGTTAAACATGGGAGCGCTCGATCGACCATACTTGGTTTCACCTTCTGATGGACCGCGGCGGAGCAACCCCGGCCAATCCAGCGCTCGAAAGATGTCACGTGACTACACGCGCCGCGCTCCCCTTCCATGAGTGGCAGCGCCTCTCTCGACGGTCAGGTGACACTCAGGGAACATTGGATTCGCTTCGATGACTCGTAGCTTCAACGCACGACGGAAAAGAAGCGTGGAAGGTTCTAGAAGAGCCGTCCGCGCGCACCGGACGTGGCTCGCTCGTCGGAGTCGATTCGCGCGGTTCCCTTTCGCGTCCTTGCGCACCACCGCGGCTACAGATGTAGCCGCCGCGATCTCCGACACCGTGCTGACGCTGGGAAAGTCGTCGCCGGATTGCTGAGCGGGAGGGACACGCCCGCTTCTTGAACGGCCGACTGCGAGCTTTCGAAGGGAGCTTCCGGAATTCCGCGCCACTTGCTCTTGGGCGTCGTTCCTTCGCGCACGAACAAACGGTGCCCGGGGATCGCCGTATATATGGGAATTACACTTAGCGCTTCTTTCTTTTTCTCTTCTTTCTAGGGGCTTACTTGGGTGTGTGCGTGTACGCCAGAGAGAGCTGCGCGGTAGGAGTTGGCCAGATGAGCTATTTTAAAGAAGGGGTCAGCACACGGTGCGTTTTTAGACGACATATCTTTAAGGACATTAGGAACCTTTAGGAAACCGTTGCCGTGCTCCGCGTGCCGCACTACCAGGAGCCTTTGAAGCATGCCTTTAAGCGCGCACCCTTAAAAAAGCATGCTTCAAAGGCTCCGGTGGTGCGGTACACGGAGCACGGCGACGGTTTGCTAAAGGTCCCTATTGTGTGGGATTGCAAAAGGAACTTGTGCCGCGGCAGTAATTTCCGAGCCAAAATTCCAACGCTGTAGAATCGTATACGAGTATGATAGGTTTTACAGCGTTGTCGTTCTCGCTTCTTGGTTCGTGGTTGGGTGCTCGACGTTCTTGTCGGCTGATGCCACAATCCGATTGGCTGAGGAGTGCGACCAATAAGGTGCCGTGCCGGGTAGAACCCTCCATATCCCCGGATAAATATCCCCACAATCCAATTTTTTATCCGCGGATTCGGATAAAA